TTCCCACCTTTCCTCTTCCCACCTTTCTTCTTCCCACCTTTCTTCTTTCCGCCCTCCCGTCCAACCAGGCTATCCTCAAGTTCTTTTTCGGTGTTACCTGTTCCTACCACCATGCCTCCGCATTCTCTGACCAGCAATCCCTCCACTGCATCCAACAGATATAACACACAGTAAAACAACATAATTACATGATTATGAACTCTTTTATACTTTCCAACCAATATTTTTCATACGTTCACTTTGACGTACGGCTGACATGCGCATATTACATGTGATCAGAGCATTGAGGTGCCGTCATTTGCTTTAAGTCTGACAAAGGAGACTGATAAGGAGCACAATGTGCGATTTGATGAGTGCAGCTAGCGACGGGATGTTAGTCTTGAGATACAAAACTTTAAGCAAACGTGTGCTTGGTGTAAATGAGCATGTGCACGTGGTGTTTGTGCTAATGAATTGCAATTGGCGTATAAATTGCGGATCGTTCGATGTTTGATCAACTTTTTTGATCAAAAATACATTTATTTATCGCCTACACGTTCAGTACAATCCAGAAAAACACATTTTCCTGTCCACGGGATGTTAAGTCAACTGTCACGTGCAAGTAAACCTATCACACCGCTAGCGTATGACATGGTTAACAGTTTTTATCATTTTTGGTGTAACACAATGCGGACATGTCGATCGCAAGATTCCGTAACGATGTGACATAGCGGAAGGAAATCAAGGTCGTAAAAGATCTGAAACGATGTTGCGTTGTAAAAACGTCATGCATGGCATCGTAGAATAGGACGAGCAAATTTTGTGTGTTCCTCTGCACTGAGCGAATCGCTGATACACCAAAACCGGTCACGCTTATGGATGGCGGTCTGGTGCGGTGCAATGATAACCACGTAAGAAAGTAGGCCAAGGTGCGGTGCAATGATAACCACGTAAGAAAGTAGGCCAAGGTGCGGTGCAATGATAACCACGTAAGAAAGTAGGCCAAGGTGCGGTGCAATGATAACCACGTAAGAAAGTAGGCCAAGAGGAACGTGCAATGATAACCACGTAAGAAAGTAGGCCAAGAGGAACGTGCAATGATAACCACGTAAGAAAGTAGGCCAAGAGGAACGTGCAAACAAAAACTGCTGACCACAGGACCAGCGATCCTTGTGCCCGTAGCTCGCAATGACTAAGCCTCCGGTTTGCACCTGGTGAAGCGCAGTCCTTGCACCATGAAAACAACGAACAAGAACATCCTTGGCCGTTCTACTACTAAAAGTACTCTTTAATCACTCCTTCCGATATTCCAGAAAGCATGTCTCATCCTTGTAATGGCATTTCCGTTCTCTCCAAAAAGCTGTCTTTTCTCCTCCTCGGGTTCGCTATTTTCACTCTTCTCTTTTTTTTCCTCCTTCTGGTTCGTCTTTAGTACAAATACCCGCTGCGGTCTCACCAGCATGCTCCTGCGTGTTTCTACAGACCGGACACGTGTGTGCTCATCAGCACGCTTTTTCAAAAGAACCGCCTTTTTTGGTTGTCTTCGAAGTACCCGTTCACTTCGCATCCTCACGACCGGTTCCACGATACGGTGCACGTTCTGTACGCGGCGTACCTTAACAGCCGGTTTTACAACCGCCTCAACACGATTGTCTACGCGTTCAACACGGTGTACGACACTGGCCGGGTTAATTCGTACCACCTTGACGACCGGTCTAACCACACGATGCTCCGTTTTGATCATCTTGGTCACAGGTCGTACCACGTGATGGATTTCCACAGGTTTTATCACAGGTCTTTCCACTTGATGTATGACATGATGAACCTCTACGGGGTGCACGGCCCGTTGCACTACCTGCACTTTCCTGGGTGCAGCTCTCGTAACCACCGTCTTGCGTTCGTTCAGAGTGCTTTTGATCTGCTCCTCAATTATTGTTATCTCCTGCTCAATCTCGAGCATCTGCTCCTCCACATCAGTTATCAATTCGTTCATTTTGTCCATTAATTGTTGAATCTCATCTTCTATCGCTCTGATCTCGTTTTGGAGTTCTTTCAAAGCTGCCATGTGCCTGCTCGCATTTCCGTTGTACTCACTCTCCAGTCTGTCATTTTCTTCTTTCAGTCTTTCGATTTCTTCCTCGAGCTGCTTTATCCTGTTTTCGTTCTGTTCATACAGCGTTTCCAGCTCCAGCATGCGCTCTTCGAACGCGCCATCATCTTTCACGTGCTCGTATTGCTCCTTCAATCCCGCGAGTTCTTCTCTCCGGATCTTGATCTCGTTTTCAATGTTGGTGCGCTCCTCCAACGAGCGCGTACGTATCTGTGACAGTGTTTGGTATTCTCTCTCCAATGTCTCCTTCTTGCTCTTGAGCATCTCCACTTTCTTGTTGTCCTGCACTATGGTGATCTCGGATGCGCTCTCCTCTACCGGTTGTTCGACTGTCGATAGCAGAAGCGTGCCCGTGCTTCTTCGCTCCTTTAGCATTCTAAGCTCCTCCTTCAGTCTTCTAATCTCTTCTCTCATCGTTCTGGTGTACTTCTCACAGTTATCGACCGTTTCCTCAGCGTTAATCCGCTTGGCAAACACGTGAAATGCGATACTGTCCGGTATGTTATCGGAGTACACGCCACTTGCCTTCACTTCCTTCTCATCCGATGTTTCTTTCGTGCTTTGTGAGCGTTCCTCCTTTAACAGAACGGTGTGCACGCTTGACACGGCACCAGCACTCTCCACAGCCCTGCTGTCATCGCTCACCAGCACCACATTCTCGCCCTCCGCAGCGCCCGTCACCACATCTTTACCCTCATCGGTACGCGCCGCATCCGCTTCGCTTCCATTTCCTACCACCACAGCTTCACTCTTCGCACCCTCTACAACCGTTCCGCTCGCGTTTTCATTCCTTACGGTGGTGTACATGACGTACCCGCTACGGCTCGGACAGTCACACAAAACACTCAAGCCAAACAAAATAATCTGCAGCATTGCATGGCAGAAGCGCCCACTTTTTATATCTTGCAATTTGAGTTGTTATGGAAGGACTGATTGATGAGCTGATGGCAATTAAGAGTGCGATAACGAATTGGATGCATTAATTGTGTATTTACCACACAGCGTGCATAATTAAACTGTGAGTGCGTGTGATATAGCCAAAAACGATTATGCGATGCATAATTGCAGTGCTGTTGATCTCCTGCGGCTGCAACGGTCTGAACACGTGACGGGATGTTGTTACCGGTATTGTTGCTGCGGCAGCACAATCACCATTCCGTACAAAAGATGCACCACGTTAGGTCAGCATTCAAAATCTTTTCAATCCCATCAGCATAACCTGAATGCGTGATGGCGTGCAAATGCTTTTTCCTCACGATCATAATGCCATATAAGTAAAAATAAAAAGAATTTTTATTAATTGATAGATTGTCCTTTAATCTGCGCGTTACGGTGGTAATTAAAACGCGTAATTCTGAGTATGTCAATTAATGCTTAGCTGCGGTGTGCTACGAAAGCAGCACGCCCGCCAAGTGCACGTGTTTATCACCGTGTTGCGTTGCACATGCCGTTTAACCACAGTTTTGCGCTCAGCAATGTTCAAAAAAGTAAAATTGGTATTTTACCTGCTACCACAGCTACTCCTCGTTACATCGCGCCACTGCACCATTTTTGAAATGAGGATACGATGCATACCTCTTTGTTAGGAACATGTCCAACAGCACATGCATCATTTATTCTGCTCCCATCTCATCACCTCATTCTATGCTATAATTC